CTCTCACACAGGTTAAGGAATTCCCTGGGTCAGGAGGAGCTGCTGTCCCTCAGTTTTAGGAGTTCCCTGTCCTGGTGGCTGCCCAGCCTTCTCCCTTTCCTTCTTCTCCCTGATTTTTTTTCTTGACCACACAGGCTATAATGCACTGCCATGTTTCCCACCCCCCACCCACCCTTTCAATAAATACCATCCTTTCATTTTCCAGTGCCATCTGAAATGGGAATTGAGCCCCTGGGAAGAGCCCATTTATGGACAGGGAATCCATGAACCAAGGCATACAGGAATAAGGACTTGGGCAGATGCAGGAATGGAAACTAATTTTAGTTATTCCACTGCAAGCTCATCACACTGTCAGTGTCACACTCCTCTTTATCTCCCATCTCACACCCAGCAGTTACCTCATGCCACAGCTATCTCCTGACAGGAACCTTTGTGGGGCATTTTTGCAATAATTCCATCCCTGTATTTTGGAAAACCTCAAATCACATGCTGTGGTTGCTACAGCACATTTGCATCCCTCTGCTGCTTCCCTGCAGTGGTGTGACTGAGGTCTCTGATTAGGGAGCAGCCTTGACCTAAAATTCCTGAAAAAATAATTTAAAAAAAAGAACCAAAGAAACATTTTTACACAATTTAAAAGAAGCCTACTATGCAGCAACAATCTAATGAAATTTTTAAGGTATGGACTGCTGAACCAAAACCCACATGAGTTTACAGGTGGGGAATGATCACCTTCTCCTGGGCAAGGTTCCCCCTGCGAGGCTGCTCCGAGCCTCTGGCTGAGGGCAAGTGTTCCCTCCCAAAAAACAGGCTAAGGAAGGGTGAAGATGCTCCAATTCCTTCTTGCCAGAGAGGCGTGCCACCCTCAGGATCTTGTGCATCCCTTGGCCAAGGGACCTTGCTGTGACCTCTCTGCAGCCCAGGCTGCCCAGTGAGCACCTGCTGCTGGCGCAGGGGGGTCCTTGGTGCTGCAGATTGAATCATGGCTCAGCTGTGATGCTTACTGATGTTCCCTCTTCAGGTGATCTGAGGTCATTGGTTTTTGGGAAAAATCTGAGCACTGACTGATCTGAGCACTGATTTTTTTGGGAAAGCAACTTCTTTCTAGGATTCTTGTGTGGGTAAGTTGAAATGCTTATCAGGGGAAAAAAGGACAAACCATTTCAGTGACATGAAATAAAGCCCTTCTGTTACACAATTCAAATCAGAAAAAAAAAAAAAATTATCAGTGTGTTAAAATCATCAGCCTGCAGCTTAAGAAAACAGGAAGCTGCTTTTATACCATATGTGCTCTCTGGGTATCCCTCATCTGGCAAATCCCCAGCAGGGTCTACATGGAATAAGTCAGGAAACCCAGCACAAGCTGCTTTGTGTACAACCCCTGCACTCTGCCATTGTTCAAGGGCTTATCAAAACCAGAGCAGAAATGCAAAAATACTTGGAATGTCTGAGCAGGAATTGTGTTCCTAATGAGCCACCGAGGCAAGAAGACACTTGGGTGTGAGATCCTTGTGCTCACATTGATTTTTGCTTTACACAGTCATACCTGCAGGGTGGGAAATGGCAACAGGTTTCCCACATTCAGAAGAAGAAAAGTTGAATAAAACAAGGTTAAAATGCCATGTCAGTGTCTGCCTCTCTGACAGCCACACTGCACATGACTTTCACAAAAATATTGATATTTAAATAAAATCATGGAGGATTAATTTAAAACAGGCATGCCTTGAGCATGGATCTCATTGTTGTGGCTGTTTGTGACAGATCTGTGCAAATGACAAAGGAAGAAAATTGCAGCGATGGGGCAGCGTGTCGATGGACGTGCTCAGACAAAAAGCAGAGTCCAGAAAACCCAGCAGGTCAGTGGTTTAGTCCTTGGGTAAAGTTCTTAGTGCTTGCAAGGAAAAGCTCTGCAGCACGAGCAGAAATGCCTCTTTATCTTGAGTGCTGAACCCCTCGGGGGCAGGCGCTGAGCTCTGGCCACGCTGCCAAAACAAGAGCACTTCGGAGAGTCTGTGGGGAGCAGGGAGATTTAAGTGGACATTGTTTGTTATCCATGAACCAGACCAATTTTTGCCTGCACACTACTCACTTTTTGTTGAATTTGCACGCTAACACAAAAAGCACCACTAATTTTAGCACGTGTTTTTGCAAAGTCATTTCTGTATTCTCCAACTGTATCCCTGAGCTGTTTGAATTGGTGAGAACCTGAAATCAGAGTCACCTGTTGGCCTTTGTGTGTTTTCAATAATTTTTTATTTAGCAGTGCTGTGACTAAAGCAAGTATAACTGTGATTTGCCAAGTCACATACGAAAGATGAATGAAATAAAGATTTTCTGAGTCGTTTACAAATACTCCAGTCATGGAATCATGGAGTACCTCAAGTTGGAAGTGACCCCGGAGGATCACCAAGTCCAACTCCCTGCTCCTCAGGGGATGTGATTCTCCTTGCTCACCCTGAGCTCTTCTCTGCATCCAGGGCCTGGTGGTAGCACCACAGCTCTTCTCCCAAGCTTTGCAGAAGAACAGAATTTTTCCCAAAGAAACTCCTTCGTAATGTAAAGACCTGACTCTAAAATAGCTTTGCAAAGGGCAGAGGAAGCTGTTGTTTGCCCTTGGTGTGAAATGGGTGCATTTGGAGAGAGGCTCTGTGGGATTCTCGTGCTCGCCTGAAAGCCGCGCGGACGGAAACGGTTCACGTACAGCGGGCAAAGTCAGCTACCGGGAGGGAGAAAGGAAGGGCAGCTCCTCTCCGAGGAGAAACTTGTCCTATCTCTGAGAGTCCCTCACAGAATGTTTACAAAACGCTCATTAAGGGAGAGGGGATGGCGAGATAGCAACAAATCTGGTGAGCAGCTTCCACTGGCCGAGATAAGAGAGGCAAGGCGGCCATAGAGGAGAGCGAGATCCAATTACCGAGACCTGGTTTTGGGGAGGGGGAAGGGGAGACAGACAGGACGGATCACAAGCTTCAAGACAAGAGCTTCCAAACTTGTCATCCCTGCGTGACACAGCCCAGCGGATAAAACCGCCACCGAGCCCGCACCAGAGCCAGAGCTCCTTGAGCGCGGTTGGAGGCGCGGGCGAAGCCATGGATTCTGTCGTCCTCCAGCTCTGGGCTGTCCTCTCCCTCCTGGTTCACCTTGCAGCCTGCAGTCCCATCCTGAGCTTGGAGCACTCCTCCCTGGAGGAAGACGTGCCTCTTTTTGATGAGATCCTCTCCGAGCAAGATGGGGTTGATTTCAACACGCTGCTCCAGAACATGAAAAATGAGTTCTTGAAGACGTTGAACCTCTCCGACATCCCCCTGCACGAGTCGGCCAAGGTGGACCCACCAGAGTACATGCTAGAGCTGTACAACAGGTTTGCCACAGACAGGACATCGATGCCTTCTGCAAACATCATCAGGAGCTTCAAGAACGAAGGTAAGAGCTGCTCATCTCTGGGAGAATGGATAGAAAGGAGCGGCCTTAGAGCCAGTGGGGAATGTCCTGAGCAGGTACAGAGCAAGAAGTGTGCTGGGGAAAAGGCCTTTGGTGAGGATGGCCTTGGAAATCAGCAGCTGTGGCAGGGCTGCCCAGACCCCAGCTCTGGTGGGAGACTTCTTTGTACTTTGCTCTGGAGACTGTAGAGATTTGGGGGAAGGTGTGTCTTTAACATTGGGGCAGCACCAAGTGTAATTACAGTTCATCAATTTCTTTATCCCCATAGTGACAAATATAATTTGTAATCAGCTGATTGGTTTTTTAAATGGATACCTTAAGTAATATTTGAATTTAAGGCAAGACTCATTTTTACACACTGTTCAAAGTGTATTTTCAAGTGAAATATTTTTAAATTATGAGCTTAATCAGGAACAGCATCCTGTTAATGCCTTCTCACTGTTGATCCCCATGGCATTTGTAAAGTTTTCCTCCTTTGCCATCGATGCACAGTCCAGAAAATAAACAAAAGTAAGTGAAGAGGAATTTTGGATAACCAATAGGTTTTACATTGAAGTACCAGACTATATCCTGATAAAAACAAACAAAACCTGAAGAAACCTAGTTATCCCAGAACCACAGAATACTGTGAGTTGAAAGGGACGCAAAAGGATCATCAAATCCAACTTCCAAGAGAATGGCTCACACAGGGATCAAAGACATTACCTTGGCATTATTTACCCCCTGCTCCAACCAACGGAGCAAATGCCTTTGTGCCATTTCCCTCTCTTCTTTCCTCTGTTTTTCCTTGTGCCATTTCCCTCTCTTCTTTCCTCTGTTTTTCCTTGTGCCATTTCCCTCTCTTCTTTCCTCTGTTTTTCCTTCCACATTCCCCTCAGTTCAACAAGGACAAGCTAAGGCTTCAGCACTAATATTCAATAATTTGCCAATACCTTTCTACACCAACACATTAAAAAAATAAATGTTTTTATACTAGAAACATTTTTCAACTAAACAATTCCAAGTATCCATTAATCCACATGGCAAAAGCAAGTGCTTTGATTCATGTTCAATTGCCATGGGGCACATGTGGCTGTTCAAGCTGCCATGGGGCCTCTCTCACCCTCTGTTCGTTTAATTAATGAGGTTAAAGACATTATTGCTTTTTCCTCCACATTTGCAGTTTCAAAATGATGAGCTGTGAGGAGAGGCTGAGTGGAAGTCACCTGAGTTCTGCAGGGCAGTGAGATGCCAGGAGAGACTCCCAAAGCTCTGTTCTGCTCCCATCTCCTGCCAGGCCCAGGCACCCTTTACCAGCAGTGGATTTCTGCACTGTGATTTAAAGTTTCTTTACATCTCCTTTTCCCCAGTGTGGAGAAATTTGTTGGAGGGTTATGGCACAGACTGACCTTTGCCAGGTGGTGTTGGCAGCTCTCTGCTGTCCTGCTGTGCCTCTTGCAGAAATTCTGCAGCAAATGGGGAAAGCTCACCTTTAATTCCTGCCATTTCAGATTTTCTCTCTTCCAATCCAAACCAGCACGATGCAAAGCGAGACTGCTGCTGGGAGCACAGCTTCACAAATACAAGCAGTTTAAGGACTGTGTAGTTCATGGTTTTTGTGTGTCCTCAAAGTCTGGATAACTAAGAACCATTCCTTTCATGCTACAGAGCTCTTTTGATAGAGAAATTAATTGCTTGCAATGAGGACAAAGAGAAACTGGCCATGGAATTGTTTTGTTCACCTGCCTGCTGAAAACTGGCAGTAATCCCAGTTTCATTGCTATCCATTGAATCCTTTATTATAGAAATATAACAGTTGGCATGGCTGGAATTAGCTTTGTTTTAACCTGTAGACCATAAGAGTTTAGCTGTAAATTGGGCTGTAATCAGTGCTTAATACTTGAAACAAAGTTTTAAGGGAAATTTTTCTTTTCCTACGGACTCCAGATCTCCCTTCCCAACGCTCCCAGGGGTGTACTGGAAATGGAAGGAGGTCTGGCACCCTGTGGACTTCCCAGCTGGAGAGCAGAGTCACATCCTGGCTGTATGAGAGCGCTCAGGGTCTGCTCCCTCCCTGCCTCTGCACAGCGGGTCCTGCTCCCACCTTCACCAACTGGCAGGGAAATGCAAGCAGACTCTCCCCTCTTTTTATTTGTGAAGAGATGAAAATGCAAAATGAAAAAAAATAAGAAGAAGAAGAAAAGAAAAAGGCAGGTGCCTCAAAGCCTCCAAACTAGAGTGAAACAGCACAAGTCACGTGCTGAAGTTCTCAACTTGCCTAAGTGCACTGGTGGAGCATGGCCAGGCCTTGTGGCTTTATCAGAGTCATTTTTTTACAAACACAGAAAAACTGGGGAGGGCAGAGATGAAGGCAGTAACAGGTCACAAACAATTTGCCTTTGCATTAATTATAGTTACGGCCCCTGTGTCCCAATCTGCAGCAAACGCACCCTCGCGAGCAGATCCTGCGCTGTGGCAAGAAATGAATGTTGCCGTGCAGACAGCAGCAGTGCAGCCCAGGTGACACCAGGTGACACCAGACTTTGTCCTTCCCACCTGTGCTGCTGCTCACCAAAGCCCACGGGGCCCGTGGTGGGGTCGCTGTGGCTGCCAGGTCGCCCAGGTGTCACCACCTGCTCTTCCTGATGCAAACCATCTTCCAAAGCAGCTTTTCCTCCCCAGGTGCTTGGCCCTTTCCATGTCTGAGGGGTGTTTGAGCAGCAGGGAATTCCTGCTAGCACAGGAACACTGCAGCACACACATTTCTTGTGTTTGCAGATTATATGTTGTCCATTTCGTGCTGGCACCAATGAATGTTTCCCCTTGTTTGTGAAGTAATTGCTGTGCAGCAGCCTAGAAGTGATTTCTATGTCATTATTAGGCTACACATTTTTAATATGTAAACCTTCCACTTGTCAAGGAAGTCCCTGAAAACCCTGGAGCCAGAAGGAGGATCACTGAATCCATGTCTGTAGCATGTCTGGGACCTTGAAGTCCTTACACATCTGAAATAACCTCAGCCCTTTTTCCAAGTACAGCTGTGGGAAGTGCTGAAGAAACAATTTCCTGGAGCTGTCCAGGTGAATCCCAGCATGCTGGATGCCCCTCAGTGCGTGTGTTTGTGGACACATTGACTCTCCTAAAACATTTGTTTTTTGTCCCTTCCAGACTTGGATTCCCACCCTGTAGGCGTGACGGGAACTCGGAAATACCCGCTGCTGTTCAACGTTTCCATCCCTCACCACGAGGAGATCACCATGGCCGAGCTGAGGCTCTACACCCTGGTGGAGAGGGACCAGAGGCTCTACGAAGGGCTCGACAGGAAGGTCACCATCTTCGAAGTGCTGGAGAACATCCACGTGGGCGCTGGGGAAGAGAGGAAGCTGGTGGCCCTGGCCTCCAGGCACATCTACGGCACGAGCAGCGAGTGGGAGAGCTTCGAGGTGACCGAGGCCATCCGGCGCTGGCGCAGGGCAGGGCTGACCACGCACCGGCTGGAAGTTCACATCGAGAGCAGGGAGGGGGAGGAGCAGAACGGGGAAGGGAAACTCGATATCGACATCAACTCCGAGGCCAAGCACCTGCCCCTGTTGGTTGTGTACTCTGACGACCAAAGCAACGACAGAAAGGAGGAGAAGGAAGAGCTGAATGAGATGATCGACCACGAGCAGTTCCTGGGCCTGGAGAACCTGGAGGTTGGCAATTTCCACGACCAGCCCGGGGAGGAGGCGCTGCTCCAGATGCGCTCCAACATCATTTACGACTCCACCGCCCGCATCCGGAGGAACGCCAAAGGCAACTACTGCAAAAAGACCCCGCTCTACATCGACTTCAAGGAGATCGGCTGGGACTCCTGGATCATCGCCCCGGCGGGCTACGAAGCTTACGAGTGCCACGGGGTGTGCGCCTACCCCTTGACAGAGCACGTCACGCCAACCAAGCACGCCATAGTCAAGACTTTGGTTCACCTGAAGAACCCCCAGAAAGCCTCCAAGGCCTGCTGCGTGCCCACCAAACTCGACCCCATCTCTATCCTCTACTTGGATGCAGGGGTGGTCACCTACAAGTTCAAGTACGAGGGCATGGTGGTGTCAGAGTGCGGCTGCAGATAGTAGGAGGGAACGCGCACGCGGGGAGGGCACGGGGGGGAGTATTTAATGATTCAGTCTGTAAATTTGTACATTTGGGATTTCCTATTTAATGAGGTTATTTAATGAGGCCTGTACAGATAATTGTATGTTTCCTGCCACGGGGAATGGGCACGTCGTGTAGGGATTGTATATTTTGTTCCTTTGCTTCCTTCTCGCTGCTCTTCGCTGTCCAGATCGGAGTTTCTCCTCCTGCCAGGGCATGGAGCTGATCACTGGATTGTTTGGGAGGGCTCTCGGTGCCAAAGGGCACATCCAAATTCACGGAAATAAAGGCATATTTTTGTACTTTATCAATGTTGATTGGCATCTCCAGGGCTTTCCAGAGCTGTTAAAGATACGAGAGTGATGGGCAATCACACCTAGATTGTTCAGTGTTCTGTAATCCTTCATAAAGATCTTTACATGCTCATTTTTTTCTTAATCTATCTCTGTAGATCTTATGTCCTGATCATTCTCAAGCTCCTGAATCACTAAGGCACAAAGAAGGTGGTTTGCTTTCCTTTTTTCTTCACTTTCTTCACTCTTTCCCCGTTTCAGTCAAAGGCAACTGGCAGGGATGATTTGGCATCTGGAGCAGAAGGGCACCATTCCCTTTCCACCTTTCTTAGGAAAGCAGATGGCCCAGGAGCAGTGCCAGGCAAGGGCCAAGGTGAGAAATTCCCCCTGGGCAGGTTTATTACAAGATCACTCTGAGGCAGCTCTGGCTTTGCTGCTCTCAAGGGCCAGAGCTTTAGGTGGCAGAAGGAAGTGCAATAAATTCCCTGAACCCTTGGAATTGTACCAGCTAAAATTGTCCTTGAAATTGCTCCCAGCTAAGAAGCAGTGCCCGTTCCCAGCCAGTAAATCCCAGGAGATGCAGCTGCACAATCCGACTGGAAGGGCCCAGCAGTGCCAGGCCAGCAGAGCCCGTGGTGCCAGTGGGACACGAGCATCTTCCCCTCTGTAAGTGCAGAACTGTCCCTTCACAGGGGTATTCCTCCCCCCAGGCTCCAGAGATGGAGTCACATGCCATGTTTCCACCACTCTTCTGCAACAAATCGTGGTGATAAGGAGGTGTCGGGGCTGAGAAACAATAGACCCGTCACTTTATTTATACTAAGCTGCAAATTTGTCAGATTCTTGGGAAAGTGTAAGTGATGTTGACTCTTTTAGCCTGTACCAGAGCCTACCGTACTGTCCCTGCATCTGTTTTACACTTTTAAGGGAAAGTTATCTTCCCTGGAAGTGATAAGGGTCTTTGAAAGAATCACTCCAACACTTCATGGGAATGAACACCCAAGACTTTATCACACACCAACTAAGCCCAATTTCACCCATTTTCACACATGCTCTTCTGCGCTTCCCATAATTTATTTACCTATTTATTGACTGCCTGCCTTTGTAATATAATGTAGAATACAGAATGTTTTATTTTTTGTGCGTGAGTGTAATCCCACTCGGATAAAACTGATCCTACCCTACATGGAATCTCTCTGTTGAGTTGTGTGGCACAGAGAGTGAGGCTGCTCACTTTTTTACCTCCCCTGGATACTCGTAAATTCTACTTGAAATCCCCCTTGCTTGCAGAGCTGCTCCCTCACTGCAGTGATTTCAGTGGAGTTCTGGAATATGGTCTCATCCAATTTACAGCTCCTCTTGCGGGGCTATCACAGCTCTAAGTGCTCAGCTGTGTCGTTTATTGTAGAGTTCTGCAGTCTCCAGATAGTGGCCCGCACGCTGGGCTGTGATATTGCTTTATTGCTCACCCTGTGGGTGAGTGACAGCCCTGACAGACCTTGGCCACTCTGCAATGGGAGCCCGTGGCTCATGGCACGCTGGAGGAATTCGGGAGAGGTGTGACATTTGCTCTGCTGACATCGGCTGCAGCAGCCAACGGCTGAAGTGTGACCACACAGGCCCTTTCAAAACTATCCACGATTCTTATGAAGCCATTTGCCAAGACAAGCCATTCACCTTGTTAGGAGTGATAATCCAGCATTAGGGAGATAATCCGACATTTGCTTTTATCATCTCATTTCTGCGGGCGCTGCCGTGGCAGAGATGTGCCCTCCCTGCTTTCCCCGTCCTTCCCTGACTGCACCAACGGCTCTCAGCAGGCTGCAGGGAAAGCTGTGCCTCAAAACCAATAAAAAACCCCCTGCAATCCCCACAAAAATGTGAAGTGTCACTAAATTCTCACGGGAGCACATGGCAGGGCAGAGCAGGGCCTGCACACTGTGTCTGTCGGAGATTCACTCTGTCCTCGGCTGGCAGAGATTTGCTGGAGCACAGCAGAGTCTGAGGAGCGTTCAGGTACACAGCAAACACAGGCCACGTGTCACTTGATCAGCTGCACGGGTGAACTTCTACAAGATCAGTGAAATTGTCAATAAATACCAACGGTGGTCCTTCAGAATTAGGGGGCAGGCAGCCTGTTGATGTAACTTCTCTTCCTAAAGAAATGAGGACTGTCCTGCTGATGGAGGAGGATTTCAGCCTGAGATTGAGGTGAAGGAGTAAAGCTGTGTCTCTGTGCTGTTCTGGGAGAAAACTGAGCATCTCTTGAATCCTTCAGCTGCACCTGAGATCAGAACTGCTGGGAGTGGTGTTTCATTTATCAGGGGTGTCTGTCAGGACTCCACAGCTGCTTCATGAGCAAAATCCTCCCTTTGCCCTTTTCAACATAACTCTGAAAAGGCATTTCTTGGATGTTCATGCAGTTCCATGACAGAGATCAGAGTAAAAAAACAGGAGGGCAGTTATTTCCTAAGGAGCTTTCCCCAAGCAGCAAATCAAGGCTGTTTCTGCAAGTTCAGAGGTGCTTGGCTTTAAAGCCCCTGTCCAAGTAGACACAACACACAAATAACAGGGTGAGGGTGTGACAAGAGCCAGGGCTTCCAAGCTGGCAGTCCCAGGAATCCCTGAAAAAAATGTTCCACTGCATGTTTTCATTTTCTTTGTTTCTATGTTCCTTCCACCCATCCATCCATCCATCCACATTACTACTGTGACTTCTGTTTCTAAAAGATTTTATTTGTCACATTAAATTTTGGTGTGCATTGATTCTCCTTTCATTTCTGATCTATTTTATCTCAGCACATTAGCAGATGTTCGACTTTAATCTTCAATTCAATCTTAATTTTAGAAAGCTTTGGGAAAATATGGCTTCATGGTGGGAGTATCCATCCACCCACCCATCCATCCATCTCTGAATTATTGTTAGCCACTGAAGCAACCCTGTCTTGCCAAAATCATCAGCATCAGTAGGATTTTTGCTGTCATCTCTTTCTAGTTGAACATGGATAAAAATGGTGAGCAGCTGTGCAGCCCCTTTTTTGCTGGATGCTGTATAAAATTCCAGGCAGTGCTTTCAGGCAAAGGGGTGGGAGAAAAACAAATAATCCCAGAGAGGAAGAGGCTGGAGAGCAGCTCAGCGAGGGAGCTGAGGGAAGAGCTTTGGTCTTGGATTGCTGCTCTTAAATCCACACACACACACACAGAGCCTCCAGAAGAGCTTGGACCTG